AGTTGATGATTTGAACTTGTCAAAGTCATATTAGAAAGGAAGATCCCTTTATTGCCTTCATCCTATCACTTCTCACACAAAACAAGACATGGTGGTTCAGAGTTCAGTGTTGTAAATAGCTTGTCAACATCTCAAGGATGAGACCCCTCCTCCCCACACACACCCAATCTATTTATAATGACTCCTCCATGTCATGGTAAGTAAGTGAATTGGTAAAAATTGTTAGTCATTCTTCAAATATGGTCACTGGTGCAGATGACCAGAGTAGTTTGAGATGGTTAAAAAGAGGGCCTCCACCTGCAGGCACTGTATTCCATGGCAGAGCAGATGGTGGCTTCTGAATGGGAAGTGAATTAATGCATAGCTGCAACTTTGGGGTGGGGTGTTGCAGGGCTTGTTGCTGGGTAGAGGGAGGGAAGAAAGGGGGAATGCAGGATCTCTGCAATCTAAATCATGCCTTATTCTTGGAAACTTGTCATTCACAAACCCAATTATGTGCAGGTAGAATGTCAACTCTGACAGAATGAAACCAATGCATGCTTTATATGGTTGGATTTTAAAAAAAAATGAAATCTTGCTTTACTAGCAGGTTCTATTTTCATAAATGTCTATTTGGAAGAAAAAAAAAAGCCAAATCATATATTTCCCTATGCACTCCTGAAAAGCTTTAATCAGTGTGTCGAAAGAGAGAGCTGTTGAGTGTTGCTGTGTATATTTTACCCAGGGTTGGTGGGGTGTGGGTATGGGGAGGGGAAGAGACCAGAGGATAGGGAGAAATCCCCGTGGCTTTACCTCTGACCCCCCGCTCCATTCTGAGCGTCCCGGCCTTGGGTTCCCTGTTTGTAAACCGAAGCTATTAAATTAGTCTTTCCAAAGGCTGTCATGGAATCACTCAAAGGTTGAAAGTTCTTTGCAAATAAAAATGCCTTGCCATGGGAGTGCCTGTTAATTATAAATGAGGAATGGAAAGCAGGCAGCTAACAGAGAAATCCATAAGGTCCTCATGCTTTTGATTGACCATTTTTATTTTCTTTCCTTGTTTTTTCCTCTTTGGTTTTGATCGTTCTGAATGTGTTTGTTGTTCAGGAGGTAAAGGGTATTCTGTGGTTGGAATCAGATTCCTGGATCAGGTCTGTAATTCTGTGTTTTGCTTTCTTCTTGTCTTTTTCCTTCTCCTGGAGCTTTAATTCATTAGATCACATCCGTCCAGCATTAACTGGTGTGCTTTTCCCTGACTTGCTGAATAAGAGTCACTGATGAATATTCGGGAGTCTAAATTTGGTAAAAATTCCTGTACCTTTTTTTTTTCAAGTATGTCTTTCTAGTAAAAACCATTAGTCACCTAAATTTGCTTAAACACACTAAAACTTTTTTTTCCTTAAGTCATAAGCTGGCATAAAAAATTCTGGAGTGAAAAAACCTGACCACTTTCCAATACCGCTGACTTCTTTACAGTAGCTGATTAATTAGTTACTGTTAAAATAAGCTCTGACTATTTTAAAAAGAACAGCCATGGTTTGGATGAAATGTCTTTGAATTTGGAGATGCAAACCAGATCCAATTGTGCATTCTGTCTGTGTGTATTTTCAGTCTGATAAAAAGCAGGAAGTGGGAAATCTGACAAGCCTAATTTAGCTGGACTAAACTGATTTCATTTCTTCAGTACATTTTGGTGTCAAAATTCAGACATGAGACATTAATAGAATAAGGACAAAAACCAACTGCTCATCTCAATAGATGCAAAAGAAAGCATTTGACAAAATGCAACACCATTTTGTGATAAAAACACTCAACAAACTAGCATAGAAGGAAACTTATTCAATTTGATAAAGGGCATGTACAAAAGGCCCAAAGCTAAAGCATACTTGACCATGAAAGATTGGATGCTTTCTCTTAAGATCAGAAGCCAGACAAGAATGTCCATACACACCACTTCTATTCTCCATTGTACTGCAGGTCCTGGCCAGGGCAGTAAGGCAAGACAAAGGCAAAAAAGGCATCAGATTGGAAAAAAGAAATAAAACTGTCTCTATTCGCGATGACATGATCTCGTATATAGGAAATCCCAAGTACTTACACACACACACACACACACACACACACACACACACACACATTGTTAGAACTAATAAACAAATTCAGCAAAATTGTACGATACAAAATCAATGTACAAATACCATTTGTGTTTCTATACAATAACAATCTGAAAACAAAATTAAGCAAACAATTCCATTTGCAATGCCATCAAAACAAATAAAATACTTAGGAATAAATTTAACAAAAGCAGTTCAAGGCTTATAACAGAAAACCACAAAGTGGTACTGAAAGAAAATAGGCTGAAATAAATGGAAAGGCATCCTTTGTTCATGGATTGGAAGACTTAATATTGTTAAGAGAGCAATATTCTCCAAATTGATGTACAGAGTCAATGCAACCCCTCAAAATCCCAGCAGGATTCTTTGCAGAAATTGGCAAGCTAATTCTAAAATTTATATTTTATGATGCAGATGCCAGGGAGCCAGAAGAACCAAAACAATTTTTACAAAGAGGAACAAAATTGAAGGACTCACACTTCACAATTTCAAAACTTACTACAAAACTACAGTAATCAAGATAGTGTGGTCCTGACATGAGAATAGACATATAGATCAGTGGAATAGCATTAAGAGTCCAGAAATAAATCTTTACATTTACGAGCAATTGATTTGACAAGCATGCCAAGACAATTCAATGGGAAAAAACAGACTTTTTAACAAATGGTGCTGGGACATTTGGATAGCTACTTGAGAATGAACTTGGACTGCATATATGAAAATTAACTCAAACTGGAACATAGACCCAATTATAAGAGCTAAAACCATAAAACTCTTAGATGAAAATACAGAAGTAAATCTTTCTCACGTTGGGTCAGGCAATGGTCTCTTAAAGATGATACCAAAAGCACAAGCAACAACTGAAAAAATAAATTGGACTTCATCAAAATCAATAATTTTTGTGCTTCAACAGGCATCATCAAGAAAGTGAAGACAACCCACAGAATGGGAGAAAATTTTTGCAAATCATATATCTTATAAAGGACTTGTATCCAGAAAATATATAAAGAATGAGTACAACATAATAAAAGACAAATCATTTTTAAAATGGACTAAGGATTTGAATAGACATTTCTCCAAAGATGTATAATAAGCACATACAAAGATGCTCAAATCATTAGCCACTAAGGAAGTGCAAATCAAAACCACAATAAGATACCACTTCGCACCCACTAGAATGGCAACATTCAAAAAGAAAGACAATAACAAGTGTAGCAGGGAAATGGAGAGAATGGAACACTCATTCCTTGATGGGGGAGATGTAAAACGGTGCATATATTTTAGAAAAACAGTTTAACGGTTCCTCAAATTGTTAAACATAAAGTTACCATATGACCCAGCAATTGTACTCCTAGGTATATACCTAAGAGAATTGAAAACATCTGCGCGCGCGCGCGCGCGCACACACACACACACACACACACACACACACACAATTGTACATAAATATTCAGAACAGCATTATTCACAAAAGTAAAAAAGTGGAAGCAATCTAACTATCTACCAGCTGATGAATGGATAGACAACATGTATTATTATTACATCCATACAATAGAATATTATAATACAATAAAGTAAATGAAGGATTGACACATGCTACAACATGGCTTAACCTTGAAAATATTCTATGTGAAAGAAGCCTGTTTCAAAAGACTACCTATTGTATGGTTTCACTTATGTGAAATTTCTAGAGTAGGCAAAACCAGAAAGACAAAAACTGATGAGTGGTTGTCAGGACCTAGTGTGATGGGAATGTGAGAAGTTACTGCTAATGTGCACGGGGCTTCTTTGGGGGATGATGAAAATGTCTAAAATTAGACAGTGGTGATGGTTTCACAACTCTGTGAATATACTAAACGCCAGTGAATTGTGCACTTTAAAATGGTGAATTTTATGGTCCGTGAATTATATCTTAATAAAGCTGTTATAAAAAATTTCAGGCACATGTGGGGGTTAGGATTATGGGTTCTTCATTCCCTTGTAAGGTGCCACTGAAGCTAATCATGCAGATGAGAGTACCCGTATAATGGCTTATTTGCTTAAAAGCTTCCTCCTCCATTTTTTTTCTTCTCTACTTTATTGGTAGAAGCTAGAAATGCTTTTGTGTTGTTGACATGAACCTTTTTATTGCTTCATCATTTGTATAGCCATGGAAAAGGGAACAGATGGTAACCTTAAAAGAAATGTTCAATTTTGGGAAGAGATTTTTATTGTTGGCTGCTACCTTTTGAAATAATTCACATGCATGATGTTCTTGTACATCAAAAACAAAAAAAAATGACCAATGTAGGGAAGATTTGGGTTTCTAATGAGAATTTCAAACCTACGTGGATCTTTCATGGAGGTAAAAATGCCTTTCCCATGAAATCTTAGGACCAGATTTGTTTGGTGGGGGAAAAAATATTTTTGCTCTTCTTAAAGAAAATCTCACCTACGGTTCTTAAAACTACTTCCATTTATATAGGTCTAGGCACCTTTTATAAAAATGGTACGTTGTCAATATTTGTTAAATGTACTGGTAATATTTCTGGTCAGCATATGTATTATGTCTAATTGCTATTGTAGTCTAAGAAATTGTGGTCATGGTCCATATCCAGTGTTCCACCTAGTAAAATAAGATATTTTGACACTCCTCTTGGGACTGAAGGAAAGGTTGGGGTCCATGGTGAAATATCCTTAGCATGTTTACCTGGTGCTCTCTGACCTTTCACGACATTTCCACATGCACAGTGTCACGCCTCCACAAAGACAGGTGTGCCGTGGTACACTTCTTTAGATGCTTTGCCAAAAGTCAGTTGCCAAGGAATGCATTTATGGTTTGGGATCCAAGGACTGGGGACTGACAGACCAGTAGAAAACCTGGTTTCTTTTGCCTTCCTTCTCACCTGCTGCCTTTGCTTCTTGCAGGAAGATTTGTCTGCACTGCAAGTGCCCTCAGGAGGAGCACATGGTGACAGTGATGCCCCTGGAGATGGAGAAGACCGTCAGCAAACTCATGTTTGACTTTCAGAGGAACTCCACCTCGGACGATGACTCAGGCTGCGCCCTGGAGGAGTACGCCTGGGTCCCACCAGGGCTGAAGCCTGAACAGGTACTGTTCTTGACTTGAGGGTGATTGTGGTTTGGCTTTTACCTTTGTCTTGTCCATCCTTTCTCATTCCAGCTGAGAAGGAAGAGTTGACTGGGATGATTCAGAAAAGAGGTTGGGGTTCCGTGGGTGGAAGATATCCAGGGCCGCTGTAGGAAATGAGGAAGAGAAATGCAAATTAGCCTTGTGTGGCCATTCCTAATCTGTATCGCCATTATTAACTGGTAACAGAAGATTGTCTGGAAACTCATGAGAAATGTTGGTTTTCAAACATTCAGTTTTGGAGAGGGACGGGGAGTTCTCCACTGGCCATGAATCTTAATGTTAAGGTTCTTTGTAAAGGAAAGTGAGGAAATAGGGATTCACCTTCTTCTTCCCAGTGGCATATGTTGTGTTAAATATTACGTTTGGCCTTGCTTTACAAAGAAAGACATTGGCATTTCCTGAAATATTTTGGCACTACCCGTAAGCTGTAAATATTGTTGGCTTGATGAGATGAACTAGGTTTCTTTCTGTTTCACTGCATTTTTTCTCAGTGATATACAGCCTTTACTTTGCATTGTGTGGTACTTGGAATTTTCTCATCCACCAGCCTCAATGTTGGTTTAGAAGCCCCTTCTGTAGGCTGGATATTTTCACTCTTCTCTGTGGATCTCTAAGAGACAGGTTTACCAGAATCTTAAGAGTTTGACCACTATCCCCTTCCTTTGACACAGAAAGTTTCTTGCTCTGGAGATCTTTTTTTGTGTCTGACAGAATGTTTTGAAGCTTAAAAAGCTCTGAAATTTTAAGTTAGGAACTTTAGATGTGATCATACTTTTAGAAAATGTTCTTTATGATTCAGAAAGACTCAAGAATTCACCAACAACTTAAGAGTGGAACCCTGATAACATCTCTTTGATTAGCCACTTCTTATTTTCTTCTTCCAATATGAAGGTTGCAAGTTGGCTGATGAAATCAAGCACACAGGCAGGATTTGTTTAGCCAGCAAAGTATTGTTTAAATTTTTGAATTAGTTACTAATACTTAAAAATTAGGGATTTTTATTTAAAAATTCATATTCTGCCATAAGAAAAGATGCAGTAGTGCCATTTGCAACAACATGGATGGATTTTGAGATTATTATGCTAAGCGAAATAAGTCAGACAGAAAAAGTCAAGAACCATATGATTTCACGGATATGTGGGATATGAAACTGAAAGCAACAAAGGAACAACACAAACAAACAAAGAAACAAAAACTGATAAACACAGACAATAGTTTAGTGGTTACCAGAGGGGGAGGAGGGACGGGTGTGGTAGATGAGGGTAAAGGGGATCAAATACATGGTGATGGAAGGAGAACTGACTCTGGGTGGTGAACACACAATGTGCTATGTAGATGATGTATTACAGAATTGTATATTTGAAACTTATGTAATTTTACTAACCATTGTCACCCCAATAAACTTTAATTTAAAAAAAAAGTTCATATTTATATCTTGAAAATTTGAAGATCTGGACTCTCATTTCTGTCAGGATGGGTGTCTGGCCATTGAGTTGAGTGCTGGCCTTTCTTGCTAGAAGGCGCGTGATCTCTCGAAGTCACTCCAGCCTCAGCCCAATTCACCCCTTTGTGTTACAACCTTCCTACCCTACAGGCACTTCAGTTTTGTGATCTCTGTTCTAATTCTTACCATGAAGAAAATATCTTAGACTAGAAACATTCACAGGAATAATCTCCAAGAAAATTGAAGGAAATTCTCTGTTGGGATATTAGCAGAAAGAAATAAGAGCTTTTTCTCTGTAGGAAGAGGTGATATCTTGATTTTCTTCTGTTTCAGTAAAGATTGTATTATTAAAGAGTAAGTTTAAGAAAAATGAGAGTATCTGACTGAGTTTGTCTGGAAACTCAAATGAGGTGGTGGGTGACTGAATATCTTTATTTGACATCACCATTCTACCCCCAGTGAGTTTTTACACCTGGATACATCTGTAAGCTTGTTTCATTTTCTTGCTAATCTCATTTTCAGCAGCTTCTTTCTAGGAGACCCCTCTTTCTTTTGTTCATGGTGCTTCCTGCTAAATTGAGCCCTCTAATTCCAAAGTTAAGCTGTTTTCAGTTCCCTGCATAGGTAGGTTCTTCTCTAAGATGATTAAACATCACTCAATGATGTTCAGATTCAGAGAAAATTTTCTATTGACCCAAGAGAACAGACAATTGCAGGAGCTGGGTCTTAGTTAAATTCATCAATTCAAAAAGTGAGCGCTTATGGTATGTCTGGAGGCCACTTGACTCATCTGAAATGAATGTCTTTGGAAAGTATAAAACAACATTCTTTTATTTGTTTTGCAAGAAATTGATTTACTGCTCTTAAACAAGTGGTTTAAGTTATGTCAGATGAAAGGATATTCCTATCTTTTATAATTCTATTGTCCTTTGGATGGTTTTCTTTATTCCCTACATTTACTCAAACCTATATGACACAGATGATTAGAAAGGGAAGTTGTTCTCCATAGAGAGACTATCTCTTTCAGCTATTTGAAGGGCTTTGTATTTGCCTAATAAAATATGAGTCTGTATTAAAGATGTTTGAAGGGATCATGTTGCATGAAAGAAATGGGCTTCAAATTTTTAAATTATGAGATCTTTTGAAGTTTATGAGTTACGGAACTGTTTATACGTTTAAACATTTTAAAAACCTGTGCAGTATGTTCTAAGATTAAAAATATTTGAGTCCAAAATGCCTTGCCCTAATAAGAATTCACTAATAACTAATTCATGTTAGTTGTCTCTGGTTTGAGAAAAACCATTTTTCTATCTAGAGAAATTATAATGAACATTAAAATGCTCTGTGCTGGAGGCAAAATACTAAAGACTAGTTAGGGCTGAGGGTAAAGTGCTTTCATTTTTGTTTGAAACCTTTCACTTCACTCCCTGATTGTGGAGTTGGTTAATATATCTTCAGGTGACACTCTTATGATTCTGTTTCTTCTGAGAAATGCCTTCAATTAAATATAATGCAAACAAAAGTCACCTCCCACTTGGGGAGGTGTTCTTGAAGATGGCATTTAATTTTAGGAAAATCTGCTAGCTGCACAACCCCACTTTCTTAAAATAGTATGAAAAAACGATAAATATAACAGATGATGCCAGAAAGGACAGGCACTTATCTTGTGATTTTTAATGACTGGCCTGAAAAGTCATCAGCAGGTTGCTCAGATTTTTTGCCTTGGATTACTCCCAGTAAGGTGTTCCATGTCATCCAGAGAGCCAAGCCCTGTGGTAGCAGAACAGAGAACGAGTCTGCCCTGATGGACCATCTGAAGCTATTAATAAGGCTCCAGTTCCCCCTCAGGCTGAAACAGTTAATAGTATGTGCCCTGTCTCCTGGAGATGCTATGGTTATAAATTTACAGCACATAATACTTCAGCAAGGATTTGGAGAATATTTACCAAGCTAAAAGAAAGGCAAATGAGGAGCAGGGTTTCTCAAGCCAGCACTGTTGACATTTTGGACTGGACAGTTCTTTGCTGTTGAGGCTTCCTATGAATTGCAGGATGTTTAGCAGCATCCCTGGCCTCTACTCACTAGATGCCAGTAATGTACACCACCACCCCCAACATTGGGATAACCGAAAGTGTCTCCAGACATTGCCCAGTCTCTCTGGGGATGGGTTGAGTACCACTGGGTGAAAGCAATGTTAAAACCTGGAGTATCTATCAGCAAAACTCTGGCCTAATTGAGATTAAAAAAAAGGACAGCTCGATTCAACACTTATTGAATATCCACTATGTTGTAGCTCCAATACAATAGCAACTGCCTTGTAAGGTGACAGTCAAGAATTCTTGGCAGAGTGAAAAGTGGTGATCCCATGCCGACTGAGCAGAGACCAGATCCTGCTATCTGCCCCCCAACCCCCACCCTCCAAGTCAAAGTAAAAATTGGAGTGGCATGAGGAGTAGGCTGGGTGGGTCACCTTTTGTTCTCCAATACAGAAATTGCTTTTTCATTTTCTAAAGGGAAGTCTTCCTCATTGAAAAAAGAAAAAATTAAAAGTACTCATAGTTCCACCAACTAAAGAAAATTGTTTCCCAAACCTCTTTGCATATATATAACAAGTATCTACGCATATGTAGGAATACATTTCCGTTTTATTTTGGACAAAAATATGATGACACTATCCACTTATTGTGACTTTTTGGGGTTTTTTTCCAATTTTTGTATTGTGGAGATTTTTCTCAATCAGTGTATTTAGATCCGCATTTTCCTTTGGAATGAGTGTATAGTTCTCCATCGGTAGTTTCTAACCTGGAGTGGTACCACTGCCACTAGGGGACATTTGGAAATGTGTATTTGGGAGGAGGAAGTTATTG